CCTCTGACTGAAGTCCATGCCAGGCCTTCCAGACGGCTCTTATGTTTGTAGAGTGAATGGGTTTTAGATTTGTTGAAAGGCACTAGAAAAGGGAGGTTTGTAGGTCATTTAGATGAAACCTGACATTTTTTAGGAAACAGACCTAGAGAGGTAGTTACGTATATAAGACCTTTAAATAAAATGTGTTCTGATACTAGTCACATATGTGGCCATTTGTGGTTGTTCATAGTGACCTTATGAACATCGGGTCTGAACTGTACTCTGTCCTGTGGTATCTTACTTACCTCTCCCACATGAACCCATTGTTGCAGTCACTGTGTCTGTCTGTTCTTTGAGGGTCTCCTCCTTTGCTGATCCTTCACTTTTTAGAGCCTGATACCTTTCTCCGAGGACTGGCCCCCATCCTAACAGCATGCCCAAAGTATGTGAGATACGTTTTACCATCCTTCTGTTTAGGGAACTAGTGGGCAAGGAATTGTTTTTGTTGTGACCCTTCAACTTGGAACTGACCAATAGCTGACTCTCCAGCAGGTTTTCAGAGGCAATAAATAAATCCTTTTATCATAAGAGGAGATTGTCCATCTTTCTCCCACAGAGCAGGTGGTGGGTTTGAATTGTGTACTTTTGAGATGCCAATACAACTCCTTACCACTAGGCTACCAAAATTCCCAAAGGCAGGTGATTCAAATGCACCAGCATCTCCACAAGAGAAAGATGGGCAGTCTTCTCCCATGCAATTTACAGCCTCTGAAAACTCACTAGAGGGTCAGCTATGGCTGCTTCTGACTCAATGGTACAATGCTACAATTTGTATGTACTGAGATCTCAATTACTCATAAACATGCCACGGATAATACAGACAATTTACATAAATACTTCAGTCAGTTCATAGGACATTACAGTCATTTTTACAGAAGGGAAAACTGAGAGTCAGGGAAATGAAGGTTTGCTTAAGATCTCCTCAGACCAGCTCTTTTTCTTTTACAATTGAGATGATACTAGTTTTCTTTTATCAACTTGATACTTCTTTTTTAAAAAACAAAACAAGTAGGAATCACTTACAAGACTGACTGTATATATTTTTTTTCTTTCAGCCTCTCCCTTCTTTTCCTTATTGTATACCGTCAAAGAGCAAAGATTGCAGTCTGGAGACTAAGGTGCGCCTGTTGTAGGCCATAGTCTTCGCAGTTGCTTGCTATGTATCAGAGAGCTGGACAGTGATTAGGGATGATAAAAAGAGAATTGATGCCTTGAGCTGTGGTGCTGGAGAAGACAAACAGGTTCGTCCTAGAGAGGGTGAAGCCAGCCTTCTCCTTGGAGACAAGGATTCTGAGGCTTTGTCTGACGTACTTTGAGCATGTTGTGAGGAGGGTCCTGATCTTGGAGAGGGACATCATGCTTGGAAGGGTGAAGGGACAGAGAAGGAGAGGGAGACTGTTGATGAGATGGATTGATACAGTGACTGCTGAGGTAATGAGGGGAGGTGTGTGGGCACAGGACAGAACAGGTTTCAGGGCTGTTGTACATAGGGTTGCTATAAATTGTAAGCAACTTGACAGCACATAACAACAACATACTGTCGAATCAGATCTGACGGCACAAGAGGAGATTTCCTCTCCATCTCCAGCAGAGCATCTGGTAGATGTCTGTTTCTAGCAGTGATATTGCATCTGGTATTACTTTCCACTTAGAGTACTTTTGTGTCCAATCCACCTCAGCTGGACTGCTGTCAGTACATAGTGAAGCAGTTTACCTAGTAGTGGTAGGAAGTTGCATTGCCAGCCTAAAGGCAAGTGGTTTAAACCCACAATCTTCTCTGAGAGAGAAAGATGTCAGTCTCCTCCTGTGTGATTTACCTCCTCTGAAAACCCACCCTTAGAGGGTCAACTGTGAGTCAGTTCCAATTCTGCCAGTGAGTTTGCATTTTGAACCTGTCCCTTGTTGCTGTGGACTACAGATAGCTCAGCAGCTCCCTCTACTGGTAGGTAACTTACTCAGAACTGTCTTAAGTAGTACTACTTAAACACATTTAAGTGTAATATTGATTGAACCAGTCAAGTAAGCCTGGCGAATAAGAATTTAAGTCAGATGTGATCTTTGCAATCAAAAGATAATAAGACTTATATAATTATTGCAATAATAAAAGTTGGGAATTGGTGAGGGAAAATACCAAGAGTTGTTCAGAGTTGATTATTCACTGAAGCATTAACAGAATATTTGAAATTTATCAGGATCTAAAAGAATGAAAGAGATTTGGCTGTGGGTATCTGAGGAGGTTTCCTTTTTTAAACCTCATATACAATCTCTCAGAAATCCAAGCCTTACCTTTAAAGCATAGCCTGAATGAACCCCTCCTCTCACTTGCTTTGCTGCCATTCAGGTCTAAACCCTCACCTGGATTACCCACTCTGGTGACCCCTTCTTTGACTTCTCTTTGGTTGCCTGCCTTCAGTGTGTTCTAAAAGCAGCAGCTAGAGAAATAAAAGCATGAGGTAGATCTTGTCACTTCTTTGCACAAAACTCCACAACCCTGTGCCCCCTACGTGTAGAGACAGAGGCCATACATGATCCTTGAGGTTCCCACATCATCTGTTCCTACACCCTCAGTTAGCACCCTCTGTCCTCTTCCTGCCCTGCCCTGCCCTTTTAGCACATAGGCACACCCTTGGCCACAGCTTTCGAGGAGCGGTCCCTTTTTTCCAGGGCTCTCCATGGGACGCACCCTCACTTCCTTCGGCCTTCAAGGGGAGCCCTTCTGCTCTCTTTAGAATTACTTGTAATTGCTTTGCCATCCCTTCTCCCTAGACCTCTTCACCTCTCTTTATGTTTTCTCTTTGCTTAACACTACTCACTTCCTAGTCCTGGTGGTGGTGTTAGGTGTCAGGATATGCCTTTGAGTCAGAACTGACTCATAGCTGAATCTCTGGGTTTTCAGAGACTGTAAATCCCACTGGAGCAGCTGTTGGACTTGAACTGTGTGCCTTTATCAAATATTGGCTGCTAATCATAAATTTGGGTTCTCTGCTGGAAAGAGACTAGGCAGTCTGCTGTAGTGATGCTTTCCTGCCTTAGAAACTCTGTGGGGGCAGCTCTACCCTGTGCTGCAGGGATATTATGAGCCAGAATTGACTTGACATCACTGAGGTTCTTGTTTTCTTTTGTTGTAAAGTATACCATAACATTTGCTTTTTAATTAGTTTTCCTTCACCACTAGATTTTAAGCCCATAGGTGTAGGTGGTCCTTGCTTCCTGTTTTAAGAATGCATATTTGCTTGTACTTAAATACACAAAGAGAAAGGATTAGGAAGAATTACACTGTGATGATAGCACCAGATATTTTTAAATGCTAGGATTCCAAATTATTTATTTTCTTCATATTTTTCTGTATTACTCAAAATTCTGTGGTGAACATACTTTGTAATTGGTGTTAGGGGAGATGTGATATAACATGCCACTTCGAGCATATCAAACAGAGAGGAATGTTTTGTGTACAATTTAGATTTGCAACAGACCTTTCCAAGGAACTAAAGACATGTACTTTCCTAAGAAAAGCAGGGAGTCACAAATACTTCTTACAAGGAAAGGAGGAGGGGTGGGAGGATGGCGGCCATGGGGAGCTTGTGACATAAGGGAGTGTGCACAGGTAGTGGGACAGCTGCAGGCGGAGCATTCACAGAGTACCTCTGTACCCTCCCCTGCTATCGTGTTGATCTTAAGGGGCAGTGGACTGTTGTCATTTGGCGTCATGGTGATTATCCTTGGCTCAGGGCAGAGAAACCAATCCTTTTATGGAAGTATTTGGGCCTTCTTGTCTACTGATTAACTAGAGTGAAATGACTCTTTGCTTTTAAGGACTGCTACACCTGCACAGAGGTGTCCATGAGGCAGTTAACATTTCAGCAGAGGAGCACATTTTTTTACGTGGGACAGTGTGTTAAAGCCGGGGTGGTATCGCTGACTCAGGCTGTACATGATTTGTAATTTTCAATGTGGTGAAGGCTGCAGGAGTTCTTGTTTAATAGATCAATGCAGGTACCATTTAAGCAACATTTGGCATAGTTTGTTGTATATTAACCATTTAGTAGTCATTTGGAGCTTTAATCATGTAGCTATTCCTAACATGCATACATGAATGACATGTGCAGTGCTAGTATTTTTGTTAATTTATTCTTTGGCTTTTTACTCTTTTCTTTTTCACATTATTTTAAAAAGTATTTGCACAAATATGAGCCATCACAGTTTGGTCAGCTACATGTTGGTTTTCAGTTCAGAAGCCATGCCATTGCAGTTTCAGTGGTATATTTATAAACTGGGTGAAGCACAGGCAAGTCACTTCATTATTACGTCTCTGTTTTTATCATCTTTGCAGTGTAGATTCAGCGAGGGTGTTCTGGGTGCTAGGGATGGGATTGCAGCTTTTGACGGGTAGTCAGGAGGTCAGGCTTTTCTGAGAAGGGGGCCTATCAGGGAAGAATGGGAAGGGATCCAAGAGGGTGCAGGCCATAAGGCTCTCCTGTAGAGGGAGAAGACAGGAGTAAGCCACCAGAGACTTCATAAAAGGGAGCTACAGAGACCTACTTGTCTTCAGTGTATGGTCGGATTCTTGTACATTTATAGCAAGTATTGATTTGCTGAGGCAGGAGGAAGGAATAAAGAACTTGGATCTAGTGCAAAGAACTTGGATCTAGTGCTGGAGCGCTAAGTGTGATTACAGTGGTATTTAGAATATATGACCTGAAACTCCAAGGTGTGATTGCTTATGACTCATGTGCCAGCGCTGGTCTGTTTATATGACGTCCTTGTTTTAGTCACAGAAGAGTGCTTTCCGGCCACTTTCCGAAAGCCTCAGCCAGCTAGTCGGTGCAGTCCAGCTGTGCACCCCGGAGCTGGCATCTTTTGGAGTGTGGCGCACCGTGCGTGTTCATCCTGAGCCTCAGCATCTGTAAGAGAAGCCTCAGAGGAAAAGACAACAATGCCTCTTTCTGATCTTTCTGTTGCAGACAGCTCATTTGAAGACACTGAGCTTAAGGACCCGTATCTCATTCCGAGAAACATCATGGCCGAGCCGGACTATATAAACGATGACAATCCTGAGTTAATTAGGCCCCAGAAACTAATCAATCCTGTCAAAACATCCCGGAACCATCAAGACCTTCACAGAGAACTTCTGATGAATCAAAAAAGGTAAAGGGATTTCTTGGGCAAGGCTTATTAAACTTGAGTAAAGTCTTTAGGAGACTTAGGGAAAAGCTCCATTTCTGAAATAAGATTTAATTTTGATTATGTTTACAGTGACTTCAAAGACTTTCCCCCCCTCCTTTCAATATTTAATTATTGTTGTTGTGGATGACACTAAGTCAGTTTTGGCTCAGTGACTTCATGCAGCAAGAATAGAACTATCCCATCGGGTTTCCTAGGCTGTAATATTCCGCCCCCCCCCCCCCCCCCCCTTTTAAAAAGAAAAGTTGGTGTATATTGTTTTGCTTACAAAGTTCATATACATTGTGTTTCACACTATCCTTCATTTGCATTGTTTCATACAATCCCCATTCATTATGTTTTATAAAATTAATTACCATAGAACTCTGCCCACCATAACCATCTCTTTCCAGATCCCCACTGATTGATTCTCATTTCCTTTACTGCTCCCATCTCCACTCACCAAATTGTACAACGCTTTGATTACCCCCTGCCCTTCCTCACCCCTCTTCTCCCACCCTTTCCCACTTGGATCCTTATATATGTTTAACAAGTTATCTTTCTATTTCTACAATAATCGTCTTATGCAGTATTTGTGCTTATGAGACTGAGTTAGTTCATTCAGCATAGTTCTCTCCAGTCCCTCCCAAGTTATGTAGTAATTTTTAAAATTGTTGCACCTGAGTAGAATACTGTGTAGTGTTCCATCGTGTGAACGTACCACAGTTTCTCAAGCCATTTGATTGTGGTTGTACATTTGGACTGTTTGCATGTTCTTGCAATGATGAATAGCACTGCTGTGAACATTGGTGTACAAATCTCTGTGTATCAGTTCTGATTTTCTCGGGGTATATTTCTAGCAGTGGAATAGCTAGGTCTTATGGAATTTCTATCTTCACTGTTTCAAGGAATTGTCAAACTGCCTTCCAGAATGGTTGTACCATTTTATCATCCCACCAGCAGTGTATGAGTGTTTTATCTCCCCACATCTTCTCCAACCTTTACTGCTCACTGTCCTGTTAAACTTTGCTACTGCTGCTGGGGTGAAATGGTATCTCATTGTGGTATTGATTTGCATCTCTCTTATCCTAGGCTGTAATCTTTATGGGAACAGTTTACTGAGTTTGTCTCCCACAAAGTCGCTGGCTGGATTTGTGAACTGTTGGGTTAACAAGGAGTGTCATCCACTTCCTAAATAACATACCTCTGGAAACTCTGTGAACTTTGATAAATGTCAATAGTTGTAGAGGGGCTTGTAAAGGGGCTTCAAGCCTTTTGTTCCTAGGGTCACTATGAGTCGTGCTCAATTCGAAGGCAATCAACAATAACAACAGGTTAGCAACTGAGCACTTAGCCATGGTGCCACAAGGGCTCCTTTTATACTTTGTTAGGTGCTGTCAGCCGAATACCATACATAGCAACCCTATTAACAGCAGATCTGAATCCTGTCCTATCCCGTCCTATGCTCACGATCTCTGACAAACTTAAGCCCTTTTTTGTAGTCACTGTGTCAATCCGTGTGGTTGAGGGTCTTCCTCTTGTTTGCTATCCCTCCATCTTCCTAAGCATGGTGTTCTTATCCAGTGAATAGCCTCTCCTAGCAACATGGCCAAAGTGTGTGAGATGAAGCTTTATCATCTTTGCCTCCAAAGAGCTTTCTGGCTGCACCTTCTTCAAGACAATCTGTTTATTCTTTTGGCAGTCCAAGGGATATCCCATACTCTGCTTCTTACCACTAGGCCACCAGAACTCCCTTCCTCTGTACTTCCTATTTTGTAATATCCTTGATCCAGATTCCCCTTCTATAGAGTAAAGCTCCCAGCAGGTCCCAGTCCTGCAGACATTAGTAATTCTTTCAACCTGTCCCCTCTTCTGAGATGTGTGTATATTTTAAAATTTGCTAAGAATTGAAAGGGCTAAGGTAGAAGAGGAACTGTTCCTAAGACTGTGAAATTCCCGACTATCTCCTTTACTTTTGGGAATATGTTGGTATCAGGTGACAATACTGACAGTGAATGGAGAGAAGTCTCATGGGTTTTTTTTTAAATTTTTAAGTAGCATTTTTAAAAGACTATTATCATTATTTCTGTTCTTCTTATTTTTTTAAATTTTCTACTAGTTTATTTACAAAATTTGAATACATTGTTTTCAAGAAAAAATTCTTTTAATTTCTCTCATCCCCCTACCCAACAAATTGTACAACTCCATGATTAATTTTTTTGACAAAGAACAGAACAACCTTTTTTCTTCTTTGTTTTTTTCTACTAGTTTATTTACAAAATTCAAATACAAATTTGAACACATTCTTTCAATTTTCTTCACCCTCCCACCCATCAAATTGTACAACCCAATGATTAATCCCCCCTTCCCTCTGCATATCCACATCCCTCTGCTTTTAGCCTCTCCCACTGCTCCTGGATCCTTATTCTCATTCTACAATAATGGTTTTATACAGTATTTATCATTATGTGACTGAGTTAGTTTACTCAGCATAATGTTCTCCAGTCCCTCCCATGTTAGGTAATAATTTACAAAGTTATTGCTCCTGTGTGCTGCATAATATTCCATTGTTTCCTAATCCATTCATTTGTGCTTGGACATTTGGGCTGTTTCCCTGTTGTTGTGATGGTGAATAATGCTGCTATGAATATTGGTGTAAAAACCTCAGTTTGTCTCAGTTCTCATTCTCAGGGTATATTCTAAATAGTGGAATAGCTAGCTGGGTCATATGTTCAGCTTTTTGAGGAAGCACCAAATTGCCTTCCTGAATAGTTGCATCAATTTTCAATCCCACCAACAATGTATAAGAGTTCCTTTCTCGCCACATCCTCTCCAACATCTATTACTTGCTGCCTGTTAAACTTTGTCACTCTTACTGGAGTGAGATGGTACCTCATTGTGGTTTTGATTTGCATGGAGCGTTTCTTCATGTGTCTGTTTGCCATTTGAATATCTTCCTCTGTGAAAATTGTGAGCCTCATCTGGGCTGTAAATAATTTCTGACACTGGGCTGGTGCACTTTGCTTCCTATGTGGTTTTAGGCAGAACTAGTGTACTGAGATTACTCACATTATGAGGTTATTTTATTTAAGACAATTAAGTTTTATATAGGAATCGTTTTAGATCTTTAGAATATTTTGTCTGAGTTATGGGAGCACAGATTCCTCATTCACTCCTCTTTCCTAAACCTAGATGAACTGAATGTGGACCAATTAAGCTTTCCTTTTTTGAAGGAAGGCCTAATTAAAATGTTTATATTCACACAATGGAATACTATGCAGCACGCAAGAGAAATGATTTTGTAAATTATTACCTAACTTGGGAGGGACTGGAGAGCATTATGCTGAGTGAACTAACTCAGTCCAACAAGGAGAAATACTGTATAAAACCGTTATTGTAGAATGAGTCTAAGGATCGAAGGGTTGGGGACGGGGAAGCAGAAGGATGAGGATGTGCAGGCAGAGGGAGGATTAATCATCAGGTTGTACAATTTGATGGGGGCAGGGTGAGAAAAATTTGAAAGAATCTGTTCTGGAAAACATTGTATTTGAATTTTGTAAATAAACTAGTATAATAAAGTGTTTAGAGGAGGAGGGTACTTTTTTGACATTTTTCTTAACCTGAGTATACAAACTAGAATTAATAATTGCTCCTATCCCAGGAATTCACTTTAAAAACATGTCTCCCTTTAGATTGTGGGAATATAACTTATCCTTTTTTTATCCCCAGCAGACACAGTGGTACTGTTGAATTAAAATTTATTTAGTAAATTGCAAATTGAATTCTTTTTGGATGTGCACAAATAAATACATATACAAAAAAGATTACATATGAGTGTTGTGTGCTATTCAGTTGGAAGCATCTCATAGCTGACCCTTCAGTGGGTCTGGGCTGGTTGAAAATGTGCTTTTTTTTAAAAAAAAAGACAGAATTAAAGACAACACAATTTACAAAATTAAATAAATGTAGCTCATTCTATGTCGTCTTTGGGCTTTTCAAGGTAAAATAGTGGTTTGATAAAGTCCTCTTATTAGAAATACAACTATTTTTAGAGTGAAAACATTTCAGGCAGTTTCTTCTCTTTTGTTAATCATCTATCACATAAGACTTTTTTTTAGTAGAGGTTTTTCTTTGTAAAATTTTAGGAAAGTTCACGCATTAAAACAATAGAAACTGCCGCATTGTGAGTAATACATATTTTGGTAAATGGATAATAATGTAATTCTGTACTGGTTTATACCACAATAAAAGTGTGTTTACTTTGTCATTGTTTGTTAAAGGGCCTTCCCATGTGATATTTCCCATAATGAACTGTATTATACTGATTTTATCACACTTTACCATGTAAGAAAAAGCGTAAGAAAAAGCTCAGTAGCAAGTTCTAGGATCCTCCTGAGACCATATGATTGCAGAGACATTGCAGTTTCAGCTCCGGACTAACTCGATAAAGCAAATACCACAATAAAGAGTCACTCTTGTTTTTGATCTCCCAGTGTGTATAAAAGTTATGTAGAATATATTAAGTGTGCATTAGCATTATGAAAAAGTTTGAAATATTATGAAAATTAACAAAATATGACAGACACGAAGTGAACACATGCTGTTTGTAAAATGGTGCTGATGGACTTTCTAGCCTCGGGGCTACCACAGATTGTAAAAAATGCAGTTATCTGCAAAGCTTAGTACAGTTAAGTGCAATAAATTGAGATAGGCTTGCTTATTTTTTGGAATAAAAGATTAGCTATAAGCAAAGGATGTAAAGAAGTTAAGGTATAATAATATTTAATAATAAAATATTAATAAAAATGAGAAAACAATGTGGGTGAATGAGAAGGATTCAGGAATGAGGTCACCACAAATCAGTCTTTTGTTTGTGGAATTTTGTGTTTATATTATCAATAGCCATGTGCTTGTCACAAAGGTCTATAGTAGTTAATTCAAAAAGTTTTTAGAGTTAGTTCTTAGGGATTATAAGATCGTCCAAG